CGTCCTACATGGAACACTGACGCAGATAACTTGTGGATTGTCACGTTAGCGATTTCCTTACACGAATAATTACAGAGCTTTCTCGTGAAAATAAGAATATATTTTATTTTCAGAAGACTTGCGTCACCGGTGTTTGAATATTCAAAGAGTCTTTTATGTTCAATGCATCATCTTAAACGTATCAGCTATTTTCAAACCAAGCCTGCTCACCATGACGAGTTCAATGAGCCAAGGAGTGTAGGGCGGAAATAAGTCTAGAGCGGCCACCACCACGCCCGAATGAATGGGGCAACTGCAATAATGAGGATGCAGTCGATGGATGAATTGTTGAAAACCCATTCAAAGTCAAACCAGCCTTTACTAACGTTGAATGGGCAATTGTGTGATCTGATATAGTTTATTATGCTAAGCGCTTCAGGGCAGCTTCCCGGCTACTGCAAATCACCGCCTGGTGCAGAAGTTAACCAGACGCGCACTATCCATATATCAACACGGCATTTGGTCAGGTTTTATATCCTCTGTCTACAGCTGGAAGAAGGTCTCTCTCTCTCTCTCTCTCTCTCTCTCTCTCTCTCTCTCTCTCTCTCTCTCTCTCTCTGTAGAGTCAAACCTTTTTTAAACACTAACAACACTTCTGGTTAACATGTATAAATACCTTCTTCCCATGCACCCATCATATCCATCGCTCACAAAAGCCCTGTTTCAAGCTTCTTCTTCTCCTTACTGTTGTAGAGTGTCGAAAGATGAAGGTAGTTTTATTAGCGGTCTGTCTGGTCATGAGCTCCATCATAATGATGGGGGCTCAAGCCGGTAATTTCTACCAGGACTTCGACCTCACCTGGGGCGGCCAGCGAGCCAAGATATCTCAAGGTGGTCAGCTTCTCACCCTCTCTCTCGACAAGTACTCTGGCTCTGGGTTTCAGTCCAAGAACGAGTACCTCTTTGGCCACATCGACATGCAACTTATGCTCGTCCCCGGCAATTCCGCTGGCACCGTCACCACCTACTATGTATGTTTCTTCATTCATTAAATTTGCACGCATGCTAATAATTCTGTCCTACTTAATTAGCATCGACAGAGATCATTAGATTGACAACATTCTTTTGCTACGCAACATATGCAGTTGTCTTCTCAAGGGCCAACGCACGACGAGATTGACTTCGAGTTCCTGGGGAATCTGTCAGGCAACCCATACATTGTGCACACCAACGTATTCACTCAAGGCAAAGGCAACCGCGAGCAGCAGTTTTATCTCTGGTTCGACCCAACCAAGGCCTTCCACACCTACTCCATCCTCTGGAACCCTCAACGCATCCTGTATGTTCCTGAATCATTCTAATATATCATAGTAACCATTCTCTAGCTAAACCTGAACACACACTAACCCATTGCTTTATTTAATGTCTGTCAGTTTCTTAGTGGACAACATGCCTATACGAGAATTCGCCAACAAAGAATCGATCGGTGTCCCATTCCCAAACAAACAGGCCATGAGGATTTACTCGAGCCTGTGGAATGCAGATGACTGGGCCACCATGGGCGGGCGCGTCAAGACCGACTGGACTCAAGCTCCTTTCACCGCTTCCTACCGCAACTTCAATGCCAATGCTTGTGCATGGTCAGCCGGGAAGTCATCCTGCGCTTCCATGACCACCACCAGCTCGACCACTTCTGGTGGCGGCACGTGGCAGACTCAGGCGCTGGACACTAGCGGAAGGCAGAGGCTCGAGTGGGTGCAGAAGAACTTCATGATCTATAACTACTGCACCGACTTGAAGCGCTTCCCACAGGGCCCCCCTCCCGAATGCAAGAACTGAGAGCTGAAATTTGAGAGAACCCAAGAGATTTTTTTGCACATGTGTTCTGATTAATTAGCGTGTACATATTGGCAAATTCTTTTATTCTTTCTGTGAAATGAGCTACAAGAAATAATGAAAAACAAATCGTTGTTGGATAGCTAGCTAGCCTTGACTACATTTCCTTTTCCCCCTTAATAGGTACACCGGTCGGGTGGGTAGTGACTAGAGACGAGCGTCAGGCCAAGTTCGATATTGAAACTGGCGTTGTCGATTGAATTCCGAAGGGAACCTATTCGGTCCAGGTTCCAACAGCTCGAAACTAGGACTGGGCCAATCAAGCTCTGATTACGACCTTGGAACCGGTCTACGTACTTCTGTTTTTCCATAGGTTATCTTAGAAACGTTTAATTCTTAGAGATTCCTCCCATTTGGCCTTAGTCCAATATTAGTCTCTTTAAATTTCATTTAGAGTTAATAAAATTATGATAACGGAAGTTCTTACTACGCAGGAAATTGACGTTAAAAGATAATTTTTACTTAGTTCCACTTTGGCGTCATCTCATCCATGGATGACCTGTCTACTTATTGCCTGGGTGGCAAAAGGGTAAACCGACAAGAATATTTAATCTGCTTGAGGCGTGTGCACAAACTTTGAGTTAATCAGTTGTAATTGTTTCCCAAGTAAGTCGATTTCAAAAGCATACCTACGTACAGCTGCCCAGATGCATATTCATTGCACCACAATCACGCCAAGAAGGAAGATTGGCATGCGTCTATGTCAGCAATCTCATCCTCACCCACTTTGATGATATAAAAAGACCAATATTTGCGCCCCCACAACTTGTTATGAGAGATTCGACCAAAAAAAAAACTTGGTGTGAGAGCTCCTGAAACTCCGAATTACGATGCCGTCCATTCAAAATAATTTGACACATGCTACTTTGAGATGCGATGCACGTAAAAATTGTATTAGAAAAAAACCATCATCAAAAAATCGATGTGTTGTGGAGCAATGAATAATTCTAGTTGCCTCATAAGTAATTGGCTTAAATTTTTTAGCGAATGCAGGTCTAACAGGATATATTGACGGGTTTGGAGTTGGCCTTTCCCTTGGTGATTTCCCCTTGTAAAGGTGTCGAGCTTCTGTTGCGCGCTCCCAACATTGGTATCAGAGCCAATGGTTGATTGGTGACCCGCTCACAATGTGTATTGGAGTCTGGTGAATATCTCAAAGAAGTAATTTTTTGATTAACACAATTTTCGGCAGCTTTCATGGATCGGTTTGACGAAAGAGACCAAAGATGAAGGTGACGTTGCGATGCAGCAACGCGATCCCGATGCAACCAGTAATGTTACTTGTATTTGGGAGTTTAAGAAAGTTGGTAATGTTGAATAGCACCTAAAAAATAGCCGGTTACATCACTTAGTGCATACCACTTTTGTTTGTAGATTGGTATAAAAGTTCATACGATATAGACGTCGCTGTATCATGATTGTGCTATGCGCTCAAAATTTGTGCTATGAAGTGTTGTAAGTAATTAACTACTTGGTGATACTTATTTTTTTAAACATGCACCACATTAAAACCGGACGGAGCGCTTTCCAAAAGATGTCGAAGGGATTGCTAACGGTTGTTAAAGGCGTTGTCCTTTTGAGGTGTTTGTCGAACACCTTAATGAGATATACATCCTTATATTTAAAACTGCCATGAAGAACCATACCAAATATACTTGTAGTGTCCCCAGCACTTTCTTCTTTTTTGGCCAGGCATTTTGGGAAAAGCTCTGGCCAGGAGATTAAGGTACGTAGCAACAGAGGCATGCCTGGTTCCCCGAAGGCTCCATGACAAGATAATCCTCCAAAGCAATAACCAAATGCCAGCTGGCAATATTTCATTACCGTATTAATCAATTTTAAAGGGTCAAGGTAGTTTTTAGTGAGGTTGACATATGTGCATCTGGCCAGGTCTATACATACACCTATTGGAAAGACAAATAAGATTTCCACCTTTACAAACAAAGCATAAGCAAAACCCATGCATGCAACCACTACTCAAGCTGTGTGCATGTACGTGTTGAGACACCCTCATCGAAACAAAGACCTTAATTCTTTATAGAGAAAGATTCCTACGTATTCTTTCCCTTGGCTTTCGTTTTTGTCTGCCTGGGAAGAAGCAAATGCGGCTCAAAGCATTGGAAAGTGACGTTACTTTTATGGTCTGTGCGGGTTGCATGATCTGGCAGCAGCGTAGACCGACGCAAAGCATAACTTTGATCTGTCAGCCTGTCGCACACGCATCTCCGAGGAAAACTCCAAAGGAAAAAGATAAAGATCGATGCATAATAAGGAACTAGGGTAGATCATATCTACTTGGCGTGCACAACCTAATTGCTCTAGCCCTTCTCTAACTCCATCATGCAAAGGTACTTCTCATATGCAGAAACTGGTGATTGATCTTGTTCCTATATGTCGATAATGATCATGGTAAACGATTCTCGAGAGTTAAAGATGTCGTAGAATTTTTTATCTTGCCCTTCTAACCAAAAATGCCGCCTCCGTCGCATTGAAGAGTTACTCAATTACACGGGTAGTTACAATACTTTCTCGTACAAATGAGCATACATGTTATCAGGAAACTTCCACTTTTGATGTTCGAATGTCCGAGAGTCGGTTTTATTCAGTGCAGCCTCTTAAACGCATACCCTATTTCCAAACTGAGCCAGCTCACCACGATGAACTCAACGAGCCAAGGAAACCAAGCCTTGAGCGGAAAATCTGGCCAATTCAATCACTCCTCGTCGGGAAAGGTCCACAGAGGCCACCACCTAATGAATGGACAATTGCCTTAATGAGGACGCAGTCCGAAATGTTGAAAACCCATGAAAAAGTCAAACCGACCTTTGCTGACGAGATAGGCATTTGATTTACATATATTTAAGAGATGAAACCTATAGGACGGTGCAAGTGCGTAGAAATATTGTTAAATTATGTGATTTGATATAATCTATTAAGCTAAACTCTTGACGACACCTTCCTGGCGAGTGCAAATGCCACTAAAGCCGACATATGATGAACATTTGATAAAAATTCATATCCTCTGTCTACAGCTGGAAGAAACCGTTTTTAAACACTAACGACGCTGATTGACATGTATAAATACCTTTTTCTCATGCATCCATCACATCCATCGCTCACGAAAGCCCTCTGTCTCAGGCTTCTTCTTCTCCTTGCTGTTGTAGAGTGTTGAAAGATGAAGGTGGTTTTAGTAGTGGTCTGTCTGGTCATGAGCTCTCTCGTGATGATGGGGGCTCAAGCCGGTGATTTCTACCAGGACTTCGACCTCACCTGGGGCGGCCAGCGAGCCAAGATATCTCAAGGTGGTCAGCTTCTCACCCTCTCTCTCGACAAGTACTCTGGCTCCGGGTTTCAGTCCAAGGACGAGTACCTCTTTGGCCGCATCGACATGCAACTCATGCTCGTCCCGGGCAATTCCGCTGGCACCGTCACCACCTACTATGTATGTGTCTTCATTCATTAGACTTGCACGAGTGCTGATAATATTATCCTACTTAATTAGCATCGACAAAGAACATTAGATTGACACCGTTCTTTTGCTACACAATATATGCAGTTGTCTTCTCAAGGGCCAACGCACGACGAGATCGACTTCGAGTTCCTGGGGAATCTGTCGGGCAACCCATACATTGTGCACACCAACGTATTCACTCAGGGCAAAGGCAACCGCGAGCAGCAGTTTTATCTCTGGTTCGACCCAACCAAGGCCTTCCACACCTACTCCATCCTCTGGAACCCTCAACGCATCCTGTATGTTCATGAATCATTCTAATTTATCAAAATAACCATTCTCTAGCTAAACCTGAACACACACTAACACATGGCTCTGTTTAATTTCTATCAGTTTCTTGGTGGACAATGTGCCTATTAGAGAATTCGACAACATGGAATCGATGGGCGTCCCGTTCCCCAACAAACAGGCCATGAGGATTTACTCAAGCCTGTGGAACGCAGACAACTGGGCCACCATGGACGGGCGCGTCAAGACCGACTGGACTCAAGCTCCTTTCACTGCTTCCTACCGCAACTTCAACGCCAATGCCTGTCCATGGACAGCCGGGAAGTCGTCCTGTGCTTCCACGACCACCACCAGCTCGACCACTTCCGGCGGCGACATGTGGCAGACTCAGGCGCTGGACGCCAACGGAAAGCAGAGGCTCAAGTGGGTGCAGAAGAAGTTCATGATCTATAACTATTGCACCGACTTGAAGCGCTTCCCTCAGGGCCTCCCTCCCGAATGCAAGAAATGAGAGCTGAAATTTGAGAGAACCAAAGAGATTTTCTTGCACGTGTTCTGATTAATTAGCGTGTACATATTGCCAAATTCTTTTGTTCTTTCTGTAAATTGAGCTACAAGTTAATATGAAATACAAATCGTTACTCTATCAATTCCTTTTGTATTACGTAACCCAACACACGTAAAACCCGGAGGGCTTTACCGAGTCGCCAAATCCATCGGGAAATTTCGTGTTTGATTTTGACTTGCACCATTGCTGGAAATCAAGTCACAAGAAAATAATCTCTTACGACTGTCTCTACCCCGGGGAAGACCGAAGCTGGAAGGTTGTTTTCACCTTGTCCCCATAATAAGCAAGACAAGATAAAGGAACTACAGTACAGTTCCGGGTATTAACCATTTATCATTGGATTACATCAACCATTTCTGTCTTAAGTCAACCATTCACCGTCCACTGATAAAACGGAAGAACAACACGTGCGAATGATCAAACCAACATTCTATTACTCTTTTCTTTTTTAACGTTTGCGGATGTAGAAGAATTGTTTGCACGTTTAGACAAGCCCTTGTGTGAACAAAAAAATTAGTTCTATTTTTAGACGTGACCTCATCAAGGTACGCAGTCAAAAATAGTCATAGCTTAGGCTCTGTTCGTGCCCCGGAAAATATTTTTCGGATTTTCCGGTGTTTGGGTGGCGGAAAACGTTTTCCGTGGGAAAACATTTTCCTTCCCCCCCTCACAAAATAGCCTAAGTCCGTGGAAAATGACTTCCGCTTCTCAAAAGCGGAAGTCATTTTCCGAAGCTTCTTCTTCTTCTTCTTCTTCACTATTTTTTTTTCTTTTTTTTCATTCTTCTCTTTCCTCAGCGCTGTGGCCGGCGACCGGCCAGTGGCGAGGCCCGAGCTCGCCTGCCTCAGGCGACCTCGGCCTCGCCGCCGTCTGGCGACGTCAGGCGAGTCTCGAGCCTCGCTCGAGGTCGGCGGGCTCCAACCTCGCCAGATCCGGCGACCTGGGCGAGGCTCGACGTCGCCGGATCTGCTAATGCTTTGATTCTTTTGTTTTCTGGTGTTGCTGTTCGTGGGGGAGAGAGAGAGAGAGAGAGAGAGAGAATCGTGGGTTCTTCTTCTTCTTCGTATTCTGGTGTTGCTGTTCGTGGGTTCTTCTTCTTCTTGTTCGTGGGCGAGGCTCCTCGGGCTGCTTGATTGCCAACGGCAACTTGGGCCTCGCTAGATCCGGCGACCTCGAGCCTTGCCCAAGGTCGCCAGACATCGGCGAGGCTCCGGCGAGGTCGGACTCGCCTGATCAAGCGAGGTGGAGCGTCGCCACAGGCCGGCTAGGCTCGACGTCGCCGGAATCTGGCGAGCTCGAGCCTCGCCGGCCTGGGGCGATGCTCGAGCTTGCCTCCGGCCGCCGGCCGCAGTTGTCGCCGGCGACCTGCCGGAGAAGAAGCAAAAGAAAAAGAAAAAAATATTAAAAATATTAAAAGTATTGCAAGAAGGAAAATCATTTCTATACCGAACAACGGAAAATATTTTCCGAGACTTTTTTAGATTTTAGCCGAACATCGGAAAATGAAGTCATTTTCCAGGAAAATGACTTCCCGAAAAACATTTTCCAAAAATGCCACATTTTCCGCCAAACGAACGGAGCCTTAGTGTCTTTTCAGATCCTCCAGATGTGAACCTGTTGCTAAATAAAGCAAGAAATGTTAGTTTCCACAGATAAATTAGGGAATTTGGTATCAACCTGTACACTTTGATCTTCGCTACAGTGAAACCTTCCTGTAATTCTTATCTCTTCTTCTTGAGGCACATCAAATTTAGCCAGCTCTATTTTTTCCAAATTTCGACTCTCTTATCACCAAAACAATCCTCCACACTTTTGTGTGTGTCTATATATATAATGTCCTCCTCTTGAATATCTGTGTACCATATGTAACATCATCTTCTAGGGCTTCCCGGATTGCGGAAAGCCTTCTGGGATTCTCGAGCTAATTATCCATTGATACGTGATTTGTAGAAGTGCCAGATATGTCTTCCCCAAGGCTTTTCCCGATTGCCTTACTTTCTCTGTTCCATTGTCTCATATCTGCCATGGCCGGGAATTTCTATCAAGACATCGATATCCTTTTCGGGGATTGGCGCTCTCAAATTCTCCAGGGAGGCGAGCTTGTCACACTCTCTCTCGATAAGGCTTCTGGGTCGGGATTCAGATCCAAGAACGAGTATCTATTTGGAAGATTTGACATGAGGATGAAATTAATCCCGGGAGATTCCGCTGGCACAGTCACCACATTTTATGTGCGTGTACATATGCATTTCTCGTCAACCATAGCCTTTATTCATGCAATAGCAATACTATTTTACTGCTAAACCGTTTAATTTATAACCAATATTGCAGTTGTCTTCTCAAGGACCAACCCATGACGAGATTGATTTCGAGTTCTTGGGCAATTCATCAGGAGATCCATTTATTGTCCATACGAATATCATCCTGCAAGGGAAAGGAGGCAAGGAACAAGAGTTCTTTCTGTGGTTCGATCCCACAAAGGACTTCCATTTGTACTCAATCGTGTGGAACCCTAAGAACATCATGTAAGATAACCTCTCTCCCTCGTACAAATCTTTTCTTCAATAGTTCTAACATTGAAAGGATAATATATGGTTCACATATTTCTTGCTTGTACTATATTGCCTAACCAACAATAATCAAGTTTTTTGAAGATATGGAGGCACCCGACTAATGTCAAATTCATTTGTTTGAAAAAAATGGCCAGAATTTTGGTGGATGAAGTTCCTATTAGGGTTTACAACAACTGGGGAATCAAGGGAGTCCGATATCCGACCGACCAACCAATGAGGATGTACTCGACTATATGGAGCGCCGAAGATTGGGCCACACAAGGCGGACGAGTGAAGACTGACTGGTCAAAGGCTCCGTTCACCGCCTCTTACATGGGATACAATGCGAATGCCTGTGTCTGGCCGTCCTCGTCCTCGCATTGTCCCTCCAACTCAACAAGTCCAACGCCGGGCACTGCGTGGCAAAATCAAAAGCTCGGCGTTAAGGGCCGGAACATGCTTCGATGGGCACAAAAGAAGTACATGGTGTACAACTACTGCACGGACTTTAGGCGGTATCCTCGAGGCGTTCCTCGGGAATGCAGGAAATCGAGGTTTATGTAGGGAAAATTCGATCTATACGTGGTTTCATGAAAATGAGTTCATGGAACTGTTTGGTCGGCCTTGTACCTACACTAATACAAATGTAAACAAAATTTTCGCTTCCTCCCCTATTTGTTTAAATCTTATGGTGTATGTGCATAAAAAGAAAACAGTTGTCTTGTTTTTCAGAACATTTGAGGACAGGAATATACGGGATTAATCACAACGGTTGGATTTTGAATGACCATTTGCCTTTTCTCTTCTTACTCAAGATGTTCTCCATGTATAGAGACAAAGAGGAGAATATGGTTCTGCTGAATAATTTCATTGATCGATGAAAAAAAATTAAGAAAAAGAAAAGTTTTGAGACAGTTATAAATGCACCTAAGAAGACTGGAAAAAATGTTTCATAAAAGAGTCGTGTTAACAGTACCTCACCATATTTAATAAAGAAACGTATTCATTTCCAATGCAATGAATGCACATAAAACGAGAGAGACGTGCATTGAAAGCAACAATGTTTCTTTATTTAGAATTTGAACGTACAACTTTCCAAAAGATGTCTCAATTTCAACAAAATGTTAGATGAATGCTTTCGAAAATTAGATGAGCCAAGTAGTGCAACCCTTAAAACAGTTTTTCTTTCCATTTTTCATATCAAGGCTTTCCGTATTGACTCCGAAGTATGCACCCCTTTAAAACATGTGATGCCAAACGAATTTAACATCGGCACAGCTTGATCCACCACATGATCAGATCAGCACCAAACAAAAGACACTTTATCCAAATATATGCAGACTCTCAAATTCAATTGATGCGAGTCACGGGTTGGCGTTTGCCCCCACCGAGTCACTGACCCACGGCACCCAAACCTCCATCGCCACCCGACCCAAACGCGCATCCCCTTTTGTTTTCTTCTGTCTAAGCCAAGAAATTGCCAGCTTGGCTTGAACTGGGGCTGGGTGTGATCTTGACTTGAACCACATCACCTCCACCACCTTTTATTGCTTCCTGCGTACCTTCCTCTCTCTCTCTCTCTCTCTCTCTCTCTTTATTCCATCTCTACTTTCACGAAAAAGACATTCGAGTTTTGCCAGCTTCACTACACACGCACACAGACCAACTTGCTTGCCTAGCTTGCATTTGCCAGCTCTCTCGCCCACCCTTTACAGCTCCTACGTGCACCCATAAAATGCCCTCATCCCCCCTCCCTCTCTTCTCACCAGTCGACCCACCAAATCGTCGCAACTTGACCCAAACTTCCCCATCTTTCTCCTCCAAAGCGCACACCGCTCTTTTAGTCCCTTCCGGTTTAGGTCGAGACGATGTCGCCCTCGATGAAGCTCTGCGTTTGTTTGCTTCACCTGGCCACGATCTCTGCCGTCGCCTCTGCCGGCAACTTCTACAATGACTTCGACATCACCTGGGGCGACCGCCGTGCCCAGATACTCAACGGCGGCCAAGGCCTCACGCTCTCTCTCGACAAGGTTTCTGGGTCCGGTTTCCAGTCCAAGAACGAGTACCTCTACGGAAGGATTGACATGCAGATCAAACTCGTGGAAGGCAACTCGGCTGGCACAGTCACTGCATACTACGTAAGCCTTTTTCATGAACCGTTCGCTCTTTGCCGTGCGTAGTAATCATGTGCGCCATGCGTGCTTAAAATCTTTCGTTTCTCTTTTATGACTCATGCAGTTGTCCTCTCAAGGACCGACGCACGACGAGATCGACTTCGAGTTCCTTGGCAATCTGTCCGGGAACCCCTACACACTGCACACCAATGTGTTCTCGCAGGGGAAAGGGAACAGAGAACAGCAATTCCACCTCTGGTTCGATCCCACCAAGGCATTTCACACCTACTCGATTGTCTGGAACGCTCGACGCATAATGTAATGTCCCAAAAGCTCATTGACGAAGACTTTTTCCTCTCTATACAAACTTGAATACCGCACCGGTTGCTGACTAACCCGCGAATTCCTATTTCAGATTCTCGGTGGACAACATTCCCATAAGAGTGTTCAACAACTTGGAGTCAATCGGCGTGCCTTTCCCAAGCAACCAGCCCATGAGGCTTTACTCTAGCCTCTGGGACGCCGATGACTGGGCGACAATGGGTGGCCGCGTCAAGACTGACTGGACGAAAGCACCTTTCACCGCATCTTTCAGGAACTTCAACGCCGACGCTTGTGTGGTCTCGTCCGGGTCTAGGTCCTGCACCTCGAAGTCCACCAATGGCTTACAGACGAGCGCATGGCAGGAGCAATCCCTCGACGCATCCGGCAGAAACAGGCTCCGTTGGGTGCAGCAGAAGTACATGATCTATAACTACTGCAGCGACTCCAAACGGTTCCCTCAGGGTCTACCGCCAGAGTGCAGGAGATCAAGGTTCCTCTGAAGCTGAAGCTGCATCAACTTCCGCTACCACAGTTGGTCGATTCTTTTGCGCAAGATGTGACGTAAATTAGTGAGCAAAATTCATTCATTATTCTTTCCTGTAACTACGAGTGATATCAATAATCAGCGATTTCCCCACCATTGTTGTATCCATAATCTCCTTGATGGCCTCAATAATCAACATCATCTGAACGCTTGATGAATGTCGTGTAAAGTATACTTTCATGACCTGCTATGATGCCATGCTCTTTCCAAAGTATCCATTCACAAGCTCGTTGTCAAAAACCTTAACCTAGAGAGTTAAAACCCAGCACTGCTGTGTTTTCAATGTCCCTTTCGCTAAAGCTCTGCTTTCCAAGGAGAGCAATCAAATGACAATATTACCCGGAGAACCAATCTAGCTCGCAGTCTCTTACAGTTAAGCTAAAAATAAAACATAAAGAAACGTCCATGACAATCATCTGCCTCGAGCATCATTTCTGAATTGAAAAGAACCATAGACTCAATAACTTGCACTGCACGACCTTCAGCCACGGTAGCAAAGGAGATGTAATGCATCATTCAAAATCGAAATCTATACAAAATTGTCAAGTATAGTTGATAGAGTCACAAAAAAATGATAACCCCACAAAGCACTCGGCATTTCAATTCAGTACACACACATTCAGACCATCTCGAGGGTTGTGAATCCCTCAGACGAATTGTCGACATGATAGGGCAAATAAAATGCTCGACGGACCAACGGCTTCATTCCCTACTACATACACTACTTACTTATCTAGAACATACTCCAGGAGCACTATAGAGGATAAGAAATATAAATGCTGGTCGAGCCACTCGAAATTGCAAAGCAGAGACTACTGCCATCTCGGGACCTGTCACGCAATGAAAAAAAGCAAGTATTAGAGACATATGGAGGTTAGAAGAATCAGCGTGCAAGATGCTTCTAAAGCCAAACGCAAGTGGAAAGAAAGATCCTAATAAAAATCCACATGGGCAATATCATCGTCCCTTGGTTAAATGGCTGTCGGAAGGCAGAGAGACCAGAACATACATGGAATTCGTAAGAGGAAATTGCAACTTCACTAAATGCTGCTGAAAATACCACTCAAACAAGAGGAGGACAACTACTTCACTAACACTGGAAATCTTGTAGCTTGGGGAACTGCGACTCAACTAGCTTTTCATGGTTCCAAGTGGAAGTAAACCTCATAACAAGGACTTTGATACTCGTACAATCAACTACATTGACTTACACAGGTGCATATCTCATAATTTTTAACAACTGAACAATTAACTACCAAAGCCAGATCTCATTTTTTCTACAGAATTAATCAATAAATGCAGCACTAGTTAACATCCCATGAGCTCTATCAAAGGGTCAACAGTCAATTCGCATCTTCCATTTTTCTTCCAGAACCTCATGACTCCACTATGAATTGCCTATATTGTCCTTAAGAAAACATTATCAGAGCTCTGAAGTCAGTCATCACTTCCCTGGCCCACTTTACAAATCAAAGTAAAGTCAAGAAAGCCAGGATGTCTGTAAAAGATAGGACAAACAAACACCCAACGAGCTCCTCGATGTGTTCTCTGATCAAAGACTCTTTTAACCAAACCACCTGATTGAATTTGGAACCTAATTACTAACAGCTCCAGTTTCCTACTTCATCAAATGGACGTCACGCATATATACTGTCTACCTACTACATTTATCCCAGATTTCTCAGCAGAGGCCCAGCATGAACTCAATGCTTGAGTCAATTTCTACTACACAACTTCTTAAAACAATGATGACGAAAATCACTTGAAACCACTAATTCAGGGACAATTTACAATCCCAGCAGAAGACATTCCTTCATTTGACCAAATTACGGCTGTCTCCCTAGGATTTACTACTTTACAAAGCCTAAAAGCCAACTAAACGAGCATTAACCATCAAAGGAAAGCTCAAATTTGATCTCTATTTTCCATCCCTATCATCCAGTCAACCAGGAGATGCCATCATCCTTCGTTAAAATTGTTAATTACTTTCAACAATATACCGTCTCTGCACAGCAATTTCATTCTCTGTAATCTTGTCCCAGCACCGGCAAGATAACAGTTTCAAGCATTTCAAACTCACTTGACAATTTAATGAAATGGCTTGCGATATGGCATTAGAGCTTGATAAATTCAGTTTCAGAGCTCAACAACTTGTCAAACCTCATAGCCCCAAGACTTCTCACGGGGTGTGTCCCAATCCGGTCCCAATTCTCAGATTTTCCATAAATAAATAGCAGCGCTACGGAAGTATCAGATACCCAACATTAATCCACACCAAGAATTTTCAGATTAACTAATGCAAGTGCCAAAGTTGAGACCTTTTTCTGCTCTCACAAACAAATAGGGGTCGAAAGCAAATGACCGTTTCCAAAAATACAAGAAAGAGAGGAACGAGAACTGAGCTTTAAACACCGCAATGAGGCTCCACAAACTGGGTAAAACTCCAGATTTCATATCACCAAACCTGAGACTTTCTTCACCGAAACCACATGCACCCAAGAGAGAGACGGGTAAAAAGCAGAAGAAAGCAAAGGAAAAATGCGTCTCTGTTTCGAAGGGAAGGAGCTCGAGAGAAGCAACCCCAGAGGCTTACCTCGGCGAAGCGAAGGGATTCTCCCAGAAAGCCATCGTCTTGCATGGGAAGGAACAGAGGCCATGGCCGCGAGCTTCAATAAATGGAGTCCCAGGAGACATGTATGAGCCCTAGGTTTATTCCCCCGGAACGACAGAGATTACTCACTGAGCTTTTCACTTTGACCCAATCGCCCCACCTCCCCCTCCGTCTCCCTCTCCCTCTCCCTCTCTCTCTGTCTCTCTGTCTCTCTCTGTCTCTCTGTGTGTAAGCAGGCTGCAGGGTACAGAGGGAGTACCAAGAAGACGACGAGGGTCTCTCAGTCCTTCCCTCTCTCTCCCTGTGCGCAGTCTGCAGAGAGCAGGGGGAGTACCACGAAGACGACGCGAGCGAGGGGTAGAGAGACAGAGAGTCAAAGCAAATGGGGGGTGGGTCCTTTTTTTTTTTTTTTTTTTGGGTCAGACTACGGCAGGGTAATACGGTCTCTCTCTCTCTGTCTGGCTCTGTTCGTGCGTTGGGTTGGGGGGGTTTTAAGGAGAGGTTTTCAGAACAAACCTCACGAATCGCGAGGCGAGGCGAAGGGCTGTGCACGGCTCTCCCTCTTCCGTTACTTCGCTCCACCCTCCCCTGTTCCCGACGGGCTTTCTGTTTTTTGTTTCTTTGATTGGATTAGACTAATCTTTTCTCGGGCATTTACATTCAAGTCCCTCGCCTGTTGCTTATTCTGCGTGAATCCTCCAAATGTTTTGTTAGTAGCCGTTGGACTCTCAAAAGGTGGTGATTCGTCGTTGAACTGGATTAGAGGGATCGATTTCCAATTTTTGAAACCGGGGACCAGACCACAAGATCTGATCCGATTCTAGGGTGGGTGAATGAAACCGGATGCCAACTCTCTCTCTCTTCTTCTTCTTCATCATCATCTTCGTTCTTCCCTCATCGAGAGCACCACTTGCGCACGATCACATTCTCATGCTCCCGCCACTCCGAGCTCGCTCATTGTCCCTTCTATGGAGCTCTCGATCTCCACTCTGTCTCTCCCGGAGCTAAAACTCGATCTCAGCTCCATCTCTCGAGCCTCCCTCTCTCTTTGTTTCGGGGTCAATTGGGGAAGAAGGAACAAAGGTAGCCTTGACGCGTTTAGTTAGCGATGGAAGCGAACGAGTCCTCCTCGTCAAAGTGGGACAACGCGACAGCTTCGTCAAGCAAGGGCGAGAAGATCAGTAAAGGAGGAGGAGGAGGAGGCATGAACGAGAGTAATTAGGGTTTTATTTCAGATTTGGGAAAGACTAAAGAGGCGTGAAAGAGTTACGAAGATATTAGGGATTTTTCACATTTGTTGAAATAAAAAATATAAATTAAAAATAAAAAAAGTTGATTCGGTCCAGGTGGTCTAGGTGTGCAGTTTCACACTTGGAACTAGGATCCAAACCGAGATTCACTGGTTCCAATTGCATGGAATCGGATCATTGCTCCTGGGAATCAGTTAAAGTCAGCCGGTTTGATCTGATCCGAGCGGTTCCCAATCCAAGCAGTTCCCTAATCATCATGCTGCTTTTTTTTAGGAAAATAACACAAATAATCCATGAAATTTGGTATAATGTACAATGTGGTCCTTGAATTTTAGCCCAAAGTGTAATATCGTCCCTAAACTTTTAATTTATTTAGGGATCACATTGCACATTGGGCCAAAATATAATGACCATATGTGTCATTATCCCTTTTTTAGTTTAGTGTTGATATCACCAAAAAAATATAAATCGGTATACTCCTATCACATTTTTCCCAAATTCTTTTTCGTACGAAGAAATTTCCAAACTTGTAACCGTGATAAATCTACAAAAATCTTATGACAAAATTGAGGCAGAATCAGGGATTTTAGCATATTCCGCAACACAAAAATTGGTTTAGGCAAATGCGGTGCGGGTTTCCCAAATTGAAATTTTTTGTGACACAAAAAATAATTTGAGACAAATATAGTGCGGATGTACTTATTTATGATTTTTTGTAATGTAAAAAAATGTAGCAGGGCGTACCAGTATAGGGTTATTTGTAATTAGCAACTTTTTTTTAGTAAGCAGGTGAGAGGATACCGGACTAACTCCCCTCAAATTTTTTTCCTAAGAGTAACACCCGCGATAAAATATTCAATATCAATCCTAACTGCCCAGTCCATCGTATGAGCCCATCATCGCTAAATTACCAACCTGCCAAAAGCCAAGAAATCTCTTTGCATGAAATACCTTTTACCTCCCTCATTAGATAAACATTCACCCCTCATGACTATTGTGATGCCCTTTTCTTATAAATATAATAATCCTCATTGCGCTCGACTAATCTCTACGGACATATATAAATCATTTCATCCACGTGTCTCGTATAAAACTCTATCTAAAAAGTGATGTACTTCTTTCATGATTATTTTAAGCGGGAGAAATCGCGATTCTAACACGGTAGTCATTATATTCTGCGATCTCCCAACTCGAACAATATTCTTAGGCAATGTATTCATAGATGTTCATTAACAAGACAAGACTCGTTGGAGAATTAAGAAAAGCCAAGACTGGACTTGCAAAAGCGAATTCTTCTCCGAGTTCTATATTAAAGTTCGAGGTATAAATATCTAATCAATGGTAATATAAACACGATCAAAACAATCTTGGAGATCTCGAGATAATGTTCGATAAAGTGGTTTTCGTGAACCTTGGACGCCCATCTTTCTACTCAACAAATCGCCCCGGCGAATATTCAAACTTTACACTAGTTATACAATTGAGAAGCAAACTTTTCTCAGTCCGATCACTTGTAAGCTTCAACATCAATGGAGGTCTCGAGATGAAATGGATTATCATAACAAGTAGTCAAATGGTGCTTTCTCGCAAGCATTGGACACTACATCATATACGCATGCCGATTCCGTAAACCAATCTTTTATGATCCTAACATATCTCAAAGGGGTTGTACGCATGATCAAGTGAGCCGCAGAAAGCACTCACAACTCGCAGCAGAGCTTACTGACGCGGGTAAAAAAGGGATTTTTGCGAGTGTGCTGAAAGCTACAGCACATTGCATGTGAAATTCAGGACAGGACCATCACGAACCAGTGCCTCCCCTCCCTTTGCTTTTGCATCTGCTTCCAACATTAAAAGCCGTTCTGGGTGTTTTTTTTTACCCTTTGTCAACAAAAGTAGCAGAAATCTGTTGCTTCTTTTGACCCCTCCATCCCCCACCAAAACTACCGCAGAGACTAATCAGATCCCCTCGCCAGCTTTTGCCTGTGCACCCACCATTTGTGTTAATCAGACCAGATGCTCACCATTTTAACCTTTCGCTAACGGCCCAAGTTTGCTTTCTTTCCGTTCTTCTTTTCACCTGTGACCGGCTTGATTACAAGAACAGGGAAGAAGAGAGGGGGAAGAAAGTCAATTTGCACAGTGTGATCTGACCCAAATGAATGAGCGCCAGCAAGCAAGAAGGGCAATAATAGATTTGGCAGAGTTCATTTTGTTCGGATCTGTGGTCAGCTCATCCCGTTTCCTCGTTAAAAACATTTACTTTTGCATCTATTTATGACAGGTTCCATTTTCGAATTCACAGTTTCTTCCGCTTTGTCACTTCTTTTGTTGTCCTCGAGTCGTGTTCGGCTCTTTCTATGCGACTTCTTTCTATTTTCTGGTTCGTCATTTTTGGTGAATAATACATTATGGAAGGAAAATTTCTCCCTATCGACTATTGTCAATAGTAGGGAAAATTGTCCAAAATATCTTAAATCAATTGCACTTTTGCCAATTCAGTCCTAAGCCTTTTTTAATTTTGCCAATTGAATTTTAAACATTTTCACGTTTTGTCAATTGAGTCAATCCGGCCAATTTTGGCCGGAAATCGCTGACGTAGATGCTGACCGTCCTACATGGCACGGCCGGCGTAGGACGACTAACGCTAAAGTGAATAATTTTTATTAATTTTTTTTTCAAATTATTTATTTATTCTTTCTTTTCCTTGTTTCTCCTCCCTTTTTCTTCCTCTAGTCGGTCGCTGAGCCTGGGCGATGCCGACGACCGGCCAAAGGCAACCAACAGCAAGGGCGACCCTCGTCGAGATTTGGCGAGGGCGACCCTCATCATTTGTTTCCTTTGGCTGATCGCCAGCCATCACTCAAGCCCGACGACCAGCTAGAGAAAGAAGAAGGGACGAAAAAAAAAGAAAAATAACAAATTAATAACAAATTTGAAAAATTATTAAAATATTATTAAAATTTGTCCACGTCGGCGCCGGTCGTGCCACATAGGATGGCCGGCATCTACGTCAGCAATTTCGGATCAAAATTGACCGGATGGACTCAATTGGCAAAACGTGAAAAGATTTAGAACTCAATTGGCAAAATTAAAAATATTTAGGACTGAATTGGTAAAAGTGCAATAGATTTAAGACTTTGTGGATAATTCTCCCGTTCATAATGAACTATTTTCATTTTTCATGCAGTTATTATATATACCACGAGAAAAACAGCACATTGGAAATGATGAATAATAGAAACTTGTTTCTACAATTGTTGTTCATCGAAAAATGAGAAAGCGAGAGAACCAAGAAAACTAGCCTTTGTAATTTATATAAGTTCAAACGAAAAGAAACTGGCGACTCTATACATGGCAAGTGTCTTGGGCGGCACGTATCGTAGACACATCTTCACATTCGCCCGTCCAAGAGTGAAATTCACGGTCTAAACTTAGATCAGAAAATGTATCTGAAATCGCCTTGATCTTAAGAAACGGAATCCAATCTCTAATCTCTCACAAAAGTCTTTCACTTCTTTCTTGTTTTGTCTTTCGAACACGGCTCGAGGTGGTCTTCAACGGCCGACGATTCTCTTTTTTTTTTTTTTTCCTGAATACGATTCGGGAGCCTCGATGGCCTAATGTCGAATCAAACACCATGAATTCGAACCCTCTTCGTGAACCGGACCGGAAGTCGTTGACGGGTTTGATCTCAAGCCGAAAACCATTCGGCCGTGAAGACGAAGGCCGTCTCGCCCGGTTCCTCACCAGCGCCGGAGGCTGCGACTGCAGGCGACAGCGACCGTGGCCGCAGCTCAACGGTGGCGATCAGGGGGGGTCTATGCGTGGCTTCAAATCTCGAAACAAAACCGAGAAAGTCAAACGACATTTGTCGTCCATGCGAACGAGGTGATAGCTTGGAGTATATAAGGGCACAGGCCGGACGGACGACATAGATTCGCTGACTCTTTGGCCGCAAGCGACGACGGTCGGCCCTCCTCGGCCACTGTCACATACTTTCAAACTTGGGAGAGAAAGGGAAAGAAATGACAGAGGAAATCCAAACCCGAAGGCCGGACGAGTCGCTTAGACGAGAAGAAAAAGAAGGTGCGAACGTGAGATCAGCAAACACGAACGGGAAAACAGAGTGTCTCTTTGTCTGGTCGTTTCCGCTGCCGACCTCTTCTCCTCACAGGGTGTCGAAAAAGTAAGACCTTTCGAAGGGGTGTTTCCATCCCCATCTACCCTTCTTTTCTTCCCTTTTCGGCAACCCAAACGAAAGGACGCCGAGGCTTGCACAACCACCAGTCAATCGCTTCTCGTTTCTCCTGTTCTTTTCTACTTATCGATCCTTCCTTTTCCATCGAATCATGCCATCGAGCTGCTCCGGAAATTGGCGAATCGCATCGTAAACGGTTCCGAATTCTCGCCGGTCGTTTCTCCTCTGCTTGGGGACTTCCATCACACAAGCATCATCAAGATCAACCACCCTTCAAAGGTGCTGCCCTCTTGCTTTCTTTCTTTCCCCATCATCGCCTGCATCACCCTCCACTTCCTCTCTCTCCTCTTCTCTGCCTCCCCTGTAAACAATTTAATATCAATATCGTTCACATCATTCAATTCTTTCGTTATGGGCTTTTAATTATCAATTTTATCAATTTGCTGTATGGATCGAGTGTCGCCTTTGTGGTCTTCACGATCTCAAACTCACCCACTTGGTGATTGTTTAACGATGCAGGGGGATTTGTGATCTGAACTCGCTCGGGAAGACAGCGAGTGGTTTCGTTGGGTCGAGCCGGTTTTTTCTTAGATCTCAGGATCGATCCTCTGTCTTGGGTTGAAGCTGCCAGAAGCTCCTAGAAAGAGAGAGAGAGAGAGAGAGAGAGAGAGAGAGAGAGAGGGGGAGAGAGAGAAGCTTTGCGGTGTGCTCTGATGGAGGAGGCTTCTAACGGGAAAGTGGCGGAGCCGACCCTGAAGGAGGTTGCAGAAACAGGGGACGTGAGAAAGGAGGGAGCTTTCGAGGAAGATGGCGAGTACAACCACAAAGTCGAGGCCCGGTCAGTGATAGGAGCGCCGGTCGTGGATGGGAATTCGGGGGAAGCCACGGAGACCCGGCGCGAGAAGGAAGCGAAAGACTCGAGCTCCAGCAGCAGCTCCAGCAGCAGCAGTTCCGATGACGAAGAAGAAGAAGACGATAAGAAAGAGAAGAAGGAGGAAAAGATCGTTCCTTTGATGGAGGAGGAAGAGAGCGTTGCCCAAAGCGGCGCCGTTTCGGTCGAGCATGTCGTCGTCGCGGAGGAAGCACCAGCAGCGACTGAGGATTCCGAGAAGGTTGACGCTGCGGCCGCCGTGGGACAGGAGGAGGAAACGGAAGCGGAGATTCCCTCTGATGAGACTGCTAACGGAGTCGTGCTGCCGGCGGGAGCCGAGGAGACGGCGCAGGTAGCCGTGGACGAGAGCGACGTGGCGGTTCCTGTGGTGGCGGCGGCGGGGGCGGCGGCAGTGGAAGAGAGGGCGACGGAGGAGCCCGTGTTGTTGGCGGTGGAGGAAGAAGTGAAGGAGGGCGATTTGACGCCGGCCGCTGCCGACGTGGCGCCGAAGGAATCCTCGCCGGCACAGCTGCTGGCCGACGTTCCGGCCATCTCCGAAGGCGGTATCGCGGCCGAGCAGGGGGTCGACGACGGAGAGATCCCCGAAAGCACCGGAAGCCCGGTGAGTGCGCACTTTTGTTACCAAAGTGGTCTTTTGAGATTGAGTTCTTAGTCATTTTCAAATGAAGGAGATATCTATCTGTGCATGAAAAATCGAGTTACAATTTGTAAATTATACGGAAGATTATTATTCTTATTCGTTCGGCACTTTCTTATTTACAGTTTATCATATTATTCTTATTCCTGTCTACCTTCCATGTATAAGACCTTATTTTCGCCCGAAGAGTAGTGCTGAGAAGTATAAGTTGATGTGTACATTATACCAATTTGATCGTATGGTTGTCACTCGTTTAATGTTATGGAAGATCAACATGGTGATGATAGGACAATTTTTATGGCGTGAGCGCATGAGCATGATTAAATTTAATCAATTTTTTGCAGCCGATAATATCGGTGAGTCGACGCACCGCACCACCAACTTCTTGGAGGAGTTGCTGCGGATTGTTCGAGGTCTTGCGACGCTCTGATAGGTGACTCAAAAGGTAAGAAATTTTTCTAGGATTTATTCATTCCACACAAAAAGACTTGTGTACCACTCGCGACATTATTGTGGAACAGGACTTTCGAATATCGATTTGCAACCAACTTAACAGTGTCTAAATTGTGGCTTTTTACCTTTTGAATGCCTATCCCTCTGAAGTATGTCTCATATTCTTTAGGTTACCTAGTTATGATCTTTGGTTGAAAAGCTAAATTAAGCGTGGGAGAGCCATAAGAGATTTAAGAATTGTGTAAGTTTATTCCGCTTGATCAAGAATCGCGCTATTTAGTAATTAGTGTTCGGAAATTAATTCAATTGCAAAATCAATTTTGTGATTCTTGTTTCCTCCGCTTATATTTTATCAGGAAGATGACCATATTGGTGTATTCATTCATAAGTGGCTGCGAATCGTCATGTTATGGATTCGATTAGAGAAGTTATCAGGGACGATGAATTTTAATTATGTAAAGTGAAACTTATCTAATTCAATAACATTACGAAAAATAGAGTATACGCCCACTCTCGCAAAGAAAATCATACCCGAGCGGCCTCATCCACCATTGATTTGAAAATTATAGCTATTTGCTCTTTCAAATCAATGGTGCATTAGATTAATTCTGTAAAAGTTTTTCGATGCTAACGATATGTGCTAGAGTTACTCGTGATATTAGTAGCTACAAGAATGAACCGTCTCGTTATAGAGCATTAGAATCCTAGAATAACTAACCCGTCTTCCTTCTCTATCTTTTATGTTGCAGAATTGGAGAGAAGAAGATTGGAGTGCCAGTGATTTTTTTCTTTTTGACAATTTGGCGCCTTCGGGGTCGACCAAATGGATCGTGTGTTTATCTCGTCGCTTTCGCACGACCCCTCGGACGAGCCGAGGCGTGCTCTTTCATTTCTCGTTACAAAAAGATTCGGAGGGAATCCGATCGGCACAGATCTGCGACGGCTCGCGAGGATGTGCCATTTGATTAGTCCTAGAAAAGAGTTATTTTCTCAGCCAGGTCAAAGCTGCTAAAGATGTCGATGGTTTTCTTCTTTCTTGTTTGTTTTGAATGCTGTCGAGAGTTGTTGTATTGTCAGTGCGAATCAAAGAGCTTGCAAAACAGTGTATTGATATATTCGTGCATTCTTTTCCCTGCAAAATTAAGTGCTGTCCCTCCTCAGATTTCTGGTATCTGAATGTAATGGAAGAGTCTAGATGGTTTTAACACAAACGGGAAATGCAGCATCTGGTGAGTTCCCAATGAAGAACACGAACGAATTCGATGCGATTCCGCTACTCCGAGCTTCGGGAGCAGTCTTCGCAAAAGAACTGCTAATTGCAGACTCCCCAGCGATGGCGAAAGCCAATGGGAAATGCGCACCAGGCGCGATGCATCCTGCAGGTTCATCAACCAATGACAACAACCTGAATGAACTTACTACTGAATTTCTTGACGAGGAAGGCGTGTTTCTGCAAATGAAAAGGCCATGTCCTTAGAAGCATGAAACCTGGTGCCCAATGAGCTTATAATGGTGCTGATGGTTCTTAGTTATGTTCTGACAACTAACATGTGCGTGGAAGTGGAATCACTACTTTGTCTTACCAACTTAAGAAGATTGATCCCAAAGCAAGGTCCTTGCTGGGAAATGAGCTGACAATGGCTGTTATATCAGAAAAAAAATGAGGTTTCTAAGCCCTGCGTCAGGATATAACTTAGTTTCTTGGCCACTTTCCGAGGAATGATTACTCGAAGAGCTCGGACCCGGAGTCCTCTACATGCCGAAGCAGAGCATTGAACTAACATATCCAGAAATCACAGAAATAATGCCATTGAAACAGTCAGCCAGAGACGAAAGCAGTGGGGTATCAGAACCAAAAGGCTAGAAGAACTCACTAAATTCTCGATCCAAGTTCAAGGCAACAGCAATGAGCATGGAACATGAGCGATCACCGAAGTATACGGAAGTCAGGGGAAGCTTTACTTTACTCAATAGCTTGTAATAGCGATTCAGCTTCTGGACAGACCACATATGATATCAAACAAACAGCGACACCCCAATAAAACAGAATAGAGTTAATTCGTAGGCTAAAAAAACAAAGCCCGGAAAAAAACTGTAGCATCTAGCAAAATTGAAACATAGAGTAGTTTAAAATCTCTGAGGCTCTTTGTTTTTCTCTCTTCCGATTCCTCCCTGCTTGCTCGTTATTTCACTGAAATCCTAGCTTTGGCGCCTGCTGTAGCAAACATAGGCCACAGCAGCTGCCAAAACAATAGCTCCTGTGGACCCTGCTGCCACGACCGGCCATTGCAGCTTCGACCCTTTGTCTTCGATCGCGTCGTCGACGATCTCTCTCCTCCCATTGATGGTCTCAGCCGTCTTGTCTTTCAATCCGCCAATCGCCTTCTCTGCCTGTTCTAATTCCCTCTGCAATTCAACCAGTTTCGACTCCATCTCCTTTGCCTTCTCCTCAGATTTCTTCAATGCATCCGCCGCAGCAATCTTCTCATTCTTCGAGCTCTGCAGCTCGGACCCGTCCTTCACGATCCTCGCCTCCAAATCCCCAATCTTCTCCTTCAACCCACTAATCTCCCTCTCCTTCTCCTCAACCTTCTCTCTCAATTCCACCTCGGCCCTCACTTTCTCACTCCTCGCCTCGCTCTCCCTGACTCCCAATGCCCCGATCTTCCTCTCCAATTCCCTCACTTTAATATCGCTTTCCGCCCCACCATTCTTCAAACCCTCCAACTCTCTCTCCAACCCCTCGATTCTCCGGCCTTTCTCTTCCGCCGCGCTCCTCAACTCCGCCACCTCCTTGTTGGCCTCCTCCGCGTCGTTCATCGCCGAAATCAGGTCATGCTGCAACCTAGACACCTCAATCTCCAAATCGGCGGCCCTCGCCATGATGGACTCCATCGCCCTCTTCCCATCCTCGGCCAACTCGACTTCCCTCTCCAACTTCTCGAGCTTCGCCCTCATCACGCCCTCCCCGCTCCTCAGCTTCTCGATCTCCGCCGTCAGATCCCCAACCCTCTCCTTACTCTCATCATTCTCGCGCAACAGATTGAACTTCTCGAGCTCTAACAACTTCAGTTTCAGGGTCGGGTCATTTACCTCGGAATCGACCCCGCGCTGATCCGCAGGGGGGCGCGGATGATTCTCCACCACCTCCGGATCGCTCACGCCATTGACAATCGCCTCATCCGCCATGTTAATCCTGCGAAGAAGGCACACACACACGGTTCTCAGCAAACGAAATCAGGACGACCCAGAAAACGGGTGGGGGGGGAGGCGGCGGCGTCCAATCCGACAGAAGTCGCGAAAGCCGGCGATGCAAACGCGGGAATCGGCAACAAAGCCAAAGGAATCGATCGAAAGGCGAAGCCTTTAAGAGCCTTTAAAAAGCCTTTACGCCATGAAAGCATCGGAGCAGGCGACGGAACGCAGCCGGAACTTACCCACAGTGGGTCGCCGAGCGAGGAAGACGGACGAAAGATGCGAACTTTTCGCCCTACCCTTTGCGAGATATCTCTGCGTATGGAAAGCGAAGAAGAAGAAGAAGAAGAAGAGGAAGGGGACAAGAAACAACAGAGACGCACTACTACTGCTACGGGGCACCCACGACCACCTCTCTTTTTGGAGACGGAGATGGCAGAAAAAATGAGAGAAAGGGTTCCTGGGGACATGGGGGGAATGTTCCGCTGCGACGGGAGCAGGACGGTCGGGCTAGGGTTTACGAGGTCAACGGGGCCCACTCTCCTCCGCTCCCGTGATCTGTGCCGCTCGTTTTTGTGCTTTCGGCCTGCACCTTCCACGTGGCGAGATCGGACGGCCCGCTTCGATGGCGTGATCGTGCCGGGATGTGCGTGTGGGATGCGAGCGGTGGGAGTACTTTACGGCTATCTCGTTGATCTCGTAAGACCAGAAGAACATCAGCACCAGACCGAGTGAACCCGCACGTGAAATTGTTCACGTAAGCTCAATTTTTTCCGTGAAAAATATGGCTTCAAATAATTAATCAGTAAAATATATTTTCATAATTAATAATAATTTATGTCTAAATATTTTCATGGACAACAAGGATATTTCTTATTGTCCGTTCATTTTTGTAAATAATTGGAGCAATCATTTTTTAGAAGAATGTTTTTCAAGCCATTTATTTTTTTCGCGAGGTATCAGACGTCCTCAATTATAAAAACTTTGGTTTTATTAAGCAAATGATTGCATGCAAAGCTAAAGGCAAGTGCGGGCCATACGTGGATTTATGCATCGACGAGATCCGACGGTTGAATTTCAACTTCAATTACCATAAGCAACGAGATTTATTTCTAAAACACATGTCCCTATCATTGTCATTTCTAGTAATTATTTATTTGCGGGATTAACATCAGCACTAGATTACGAGGATATGTTTCCAAACATGGCGAAGCTTTGTCTAATCGCTTCAGGCAATAGTTTCGTTTGGTTACTAGATTGAAAGGGAAGGGAAAAGGTTTGTTTGAATTAAATTTTCCTGAGACACCGGAAGTTCTCTTCTTTAAAATTCAATGAGCTGGTGTCTCTTGTTTGACGTTGATAATCAGAATTGCAAAGGAAGTTACAAGATGAGGGCCAAAAAGTATAGAAGCAATTCATGGATGATAAAAACAATAGGGAAAATGACATCGTGAGTACCATAACTTTCGTACGGCGCTCGCTTCGCTGATAAATTTTTTTAATTGAAATCGATCGCTTCAATATTATCAATGATTCGTGTAACTCGAATATCCAGTGTGGCATTAATTTATTATATAATATCCGACGTGGCCTACCGATAAAGCTCACTAAAAAAAGTGAGTAAAATGATGCTGTTTTTCCTTATGTTTGCCCTAAATTTACTCACTAAAAAAAAGTAAGTAAATTAGCCATGTTCTTCCTACCCTAACCTCCAAATTGAGGAATTGGGGCAAAAAATTAGCTTATGAAATTCGGACATGCAAGCAATGCTCCTGCAAAGAAAAGGAGGATGAGGAAGAGAGGCTTGAGTACGGCTTGAGTGTCTATATATATATAGATGGAGAGGTTGAGCAGTTTGAGAGGTTGCGATAGTGCGTATCCATGCATATCCCTTCTAGGATTAGGATTTCGTTTTCAAATCAATTCGGAGGACCAAAAGAGCCAAATTTATCCCATGTTTTTGTCACGCCATGTTGAACCTCAATGTTCTTCTAAAAAAAGTCACTTGGGAATCAAAATTTAATTTAGTAATCCACCCAGTACATATCGCTGGAATAAGCATTTAAATGATCGATTTTTTACCCCGTGATAGTTGGTGATAAAAAAAAAAAAAAGGTTTTTGCATTATGATAAGCGCCGTACGAAAATTATGACGCATGTGGTGTCTTTTTTTCTTAAAAGGGGTTTAGCATGGCCTTCTAATCTATTTCGCTTAATCCAACTAAGATGGGCTACTCTTTCTCTGGGCCAAGCTAAGATGGGCTATTCCACATATTTGTCTTGTGGACAATAGCTCCTGTTTTTAGGGAAAAAGACATAAACAATTTCTGAACTTTGATCCAATGTGCAATTTGATCCATGAACTTTAAATTTGTTCAATGTAATCCCCGAACTTTAACCAAATATGCAATGTGGTCCCTGAATTTTTATTTTGTTCAATGCCATCCCTGAACTTTTGGTACATATTCAATTCAGTCACTGAACTATCTGAAAATGTTGAATGTAGTCCCTGAACTTGAATTAATGGAAATGACTACATTAAGCATTTTCATATAGTTCGGGGACTGAATTGAACATGTACCAAAAGTTCAGGAATGACATTGAACAAAATAAAAGTTTAGGAACTACATTGAACATTAACCTAAAGTTCACGAACTACGTTGAACAAATTAAAAATTTAGAGACTAAATTGTTCATTGGATCAAAGTTCATGGACTGTTTGTGTCATTTTCCCTCTTTTTTATCATGATCCAAGAAATGAAATTCCTCCGGAATGGGCTGAAAAAGAAAATTCATTTTCCTTTGTTTGAGCTCATTGTTCAACGAGCTTACCTGGGTAATCCAACTGTTCAGGTGAAAAATTATGGTGCCTTTTGGAAATGGTTTGCCAGTTGCCATTAACATGATGCAAGTAAAGATAAAACCAAAAAAAAAAAATGCAAATTTCATCCATAGGGACGATGGTGACTGGAGAAACAAGTCACAAGATATGTCTATCAGCTGAAACTTTACGATCCATCCCCCAAAAGTTCTGCAGATAGCACATGCAAGAAAAGATGTGCTACTGCTACCTAGAGTTAAATTAGAAAAAAAGAGAGAGGAAACGATCATGCTTTTATCTCATGAAAGACCAAACATGTTATCGACGTATCAAATCCAAAGAATGCCAAAATGACTGTGTCACTGTCATCGCATCTGTTCCGCTGGATAACAATCACCATCTATGGTCATGGCATTCAAGGCCCTACTCGCTACGAAGCTCACTTGGGGGAAAAAACAAAGGCCCCTTCACTTTTTCTTTTCTTTTATGCCATCTGAACTATCTCTTTCCATCCTCAGAGCAAAAATGATGCTTACAACATTAGCAGATTTGGAAAAAAAATAATTAAAAAATAAACCCAGTTTCTCTTTCAATTTGTTCAAAGCACCATCTGACCTCTCTCTCTCTCTCTCTCTCTCTCTCCTCCTATTCATTCCAATACCAAGCCAAGAACCAAGCGATCGAAAAGGCAACAGTAGGGCCAGTAAGCAAAATGAGGAAAAAAACAGAGAGAGAAATCTATCTTTCTTCAATATTGCAAAGAACAAAATAAATTCACAACAAGGGAGAATAAAGTCTGACTAGAAATAATTCGTCCTCCATTTTTTTTTCTTGCTTTTTTCTTTTTCCCAATCTTCCATCGTCACCATCATCCTCCAAGCTTCCTCTTCTCCTTCTCTAGGCCTTCAAAGAAGTTGGCGAGTGCTCTCATGGCTTTGACCTGGCCCTGCAAGGCCAAGATGTACACGGCAGTCTCTTCAAACAGCTTGTCCACCCCTAAGTCCACCCCACCGGGCACAATCCTCTGCAACGCCTCCATCTTCCTCTCCACTTCGGCCTTATTGTCGTCGTCCTCGAGCCCGCCATCGTTCCCATTCGCAACCACCGCAGTCTTCTTCCGCTTCTGCTGCAACTTCTTCAAGTCCCTCCGCTTTCTCGACTTGGCCCTCGCGAGGGACCCCAGCTTCTTGCATTGCTTGCCGCAGCTTAAAGATCGGTTTTTCGGAGCACCCATCTCGGGCTCTCGATCTGAGGACGTGGCCGTGCTGTGTTGAGTCATCTCCATGGATAAAGAAAGAATGGAGAGACAGAGGGCGAGGGAGAGGGAGAGGAGAAAAGAGGGGTTGGACTTTGAGATAGAGGGTTGAGAATGCGAGTTGCGAATGTGTGAATGAAGTAGAGAGAGGGGGGGTGGTTAAATTATTGTTGAGTTCCAGAAATGTCAAATGCCAACGAAGCTTGGCCCACCTAGTTGTTTTTTTGGAGGGGAGGAGGGACTTCACTAAAGTCTGTTCTCCCCTTTTTTTGGTTTGGATTGGAGTGGAGGTGTAATGCTGCTCTCCAATTAAAGTGCCTGGACATGGTGATCCTATTGCTGCTCCCATGTGCCCTTTCTTTATTTTTTTTCTCTCCCTCCTTCTCCCCCTTCCCCCGACTTTTAAACAAGAGAAAACCATCTCAAAAAGTACAAGACTCGTAACCTATGATATCTCGGCCATGATGCATAAACTATGATTGATTTAATCCTATCTCAATCAACTTTTTCTCACGCCACGGATGCTGGAAGCTAGCGCGAAGTCGCCTTTCCACCGGCGGTTCCCCTTTTATTTTATCCTGCGCATGATGACTATTCATGTGACAGCGCATTGAATATCCAACAACATCTCACATGTTTCGAAGGCTCCAACACATGAAAGACTAAAGCATAGCTACAGGGGAAGAGAGAGAGAGGGAGAGAGCGAGAGTAGCTCCAGCCAGCAGCAGCCCATGAAATATTTTCAGGGCATGTGACCACTAGCTCGTGTCCTGAGATCTGTCACTGTCCCTAGTAGTGATCAAAGAAGAGCCTCACAGCTCGAGGACTCCACCGCAATTCCACGCTGCGAGACGAAACGTCGTCTCGGCGAGCACGTGCTCGCCTCTGCATGCATGTGCGCGAGCGAGATGAGGGGGGCTCGTGGCGCTGCTGCTCCTGCATCGCCGCACGATGCAAAGCGGTGCCTCGTTCGAGCAGTCCCGTCGTCTTTTTCCTTGTCTCGGGTGATGGGGGCGCGGCTTTGTCGGGGATCAGCACCGGCGGAGCGTTCTCGATGCGTTCGATGGCGGGTGCGTGGGGTTCTTGGAAGGAGGAGCGGTGCGGTGGTGCGGGGATGGGCCCCAGCGAGCGACGCATCGCGCTAAGCGGGGCGAGGGGAAAGCGCACATGCGATCACATGATCTTCTCGAACCTAACAACGCTACGTTACAGCACAGGTGGGCCCCCACCCCCTGTCCCCCCTGGCCTCGCTGCCACGTGGCGCGTCCCTTTCTTTTTTGGGGTGGGGGGTGAGGCCCACCTAGAGCCCCTCAACACAAGGCTTCTTCTTTTTTTTTTTTTTTATAAATTTCTTTTGCCCTCGTTCGTGTTTAAATTAATAGGGGGGGTCTTGGCGCAACTTGATCTCACTTGCAAAAGTGTAATGATTAGATGTCATGAATGGTGACTAGGTTCATGTTTGGATGTTAAAATGTGAGAAAAGCTCGATTAGTTTCTAAGTTGGGCAAGTCGCAAAGCTGGATCACATAACACGTACAGTAAAAAAAAAGAGAAACGTATTTTATGAAACGCTTTATCACCCACGATAATCCTATAAATTATATGTGGTAAAGTTGAGATGTTTTGCCCTGATAAATAAAAATATAATGGAAAAAAGAGAGGCAATGTGATACGATTTCATCGAACTCTACTGGCTCAGGCGGCGGCAAGCACCGGTATACGAAGCCTAGTCCGTCCACATTCTATTCAAGAAAGCTAAATACGGTAAATTAACTTTATCCGAGAGGTTGAAAATAAGTAAAGCATAATAATTTTTTCCATCCTTACCTCCGAAAGTATTCGTATCGACATTTGTTAGTAAGAAAGATGCGATGATGATTGCCCTAAGCATACTTATTAAGTGTAACGATAGATCTTTATTTTTCGATTTGGTCTTACACCAAGTGTCTCAAGTACATGCACTCTTGGTAAATTTCATGATCAATGCACAAAATACCACCAAATGGATGATCCGCTCCTGCAAGAGTACGAGGTCGGGCCAATTCAAGACCCGCCATTTCCCACGGCGGTGGTGGGTGGCGGCGGAGGCGGCGGTGGCGGCAGTGTTTCCGAGGAGGAAACCAGTTGGCGAGCTGGCCCGACCGGGGATGGATCGTGGGGGGTTAGAGATAGAGAGAGAGATTGGTGTTGTTGGGCATATGGGGCTCCATGTGATCAGAGCCACCCGATTCCCTGTTCCTCCGGCACACTACACCCCGACCTCGTCCTCATTCTCGGACAACTTTCTTGGATCCAGATTCAATTTCCCCCCATTTTCTTTTCATTTATTTTTCCAATTGTCCTTTTCCAATTTTTTTTTTTTCATTTTGCTTCAACATTTGCTGGATTTTCCCCACTTGAATTCCCTGAGTCCCTGGCTTTCCGTACTCAATTCAGGTACATTACTTCCCCCACCGCCTCCCACGATTAGAAAAATGATTAATACCACGAAAATTTCTGATATATCTATGATAATTTTATCTCAAATTAATTTTTTGATCATCAAAAACTCCAAACTGATACACTTATGACAAACTTACCCTTAATTTGTTTCCGTTAAATTTTACTGTCAAATTGTTTTGTTAAATGACACGCGACAGTTAACTGATGTACCAGTTTTTATGTTTTACCCTCCATTTGTCGTAGGTGTATCGGTTTGTGATTTTTTATGGTATTAATTCAATTTAACGAAAACTAACGGAAGGTAAATTTATCACAATATTAGTTTGGGATTTTAGTGGTCAAAATATTAGTTTGGGGTAAATTTGTCATGGATATACCAGTTTGGAGTTTTTTTTGGCCAAAATAATAATTTTTAGTAAAATTATCATAAGTGTACCGATTTGAGATTTTTCGTGGCATTAACCTTTAGAAAAATTGAGTTACAAGATTTTGTCCATGGCATTCATAGTATACTCTTGTTTATCTGTCTAAAGCATCGTTCACGTGAAGCTCTTGATTGAAAAATTCAATCCTAATCTTATCCCTAAATTACAGAAGGACCCACTTGCCACTTGGCACTATAACTCTCTCTAGGCTTAGCCCTCTTTGGATCTGAGATCTGTGGAATAGTGGAGGGGGTGGTATCTTTTATCCGCTCCGATTTTGGCTAGCTCGGCTTTATGACGCGCCGATCGGAGCCGTGCGCCGAGCTTATCTGATAGGGCATCAATGGATGTGAAAGGGGCGATGTCGAATCAAAAGACATGCTCAACACCCAATAAAACATGAAATCGGTTCATGGAGCCACGATGGACGTGCGCCGACGATTAACTCGACATGGGTCGGATGCACGGGATTCGATAATTTGCGAACCAACGAGGCTCAGAGTAGAATTGAGCATGGGGATAGGGGGTAGGGGGGGTGTGGGACAAAAGTGGGGACCCATGTTGGCCAAGGACAGGAAAAGGTTAGGGGGGCGATGCAACGAGCAAATGATAGGAAAAGAGCCATGCATGATGCTTGCGTCCTGGGCACTTTGCATCGGATGGGATTTATGAGCGACGCCATCTCGGGGAGACAAAAGAGGTCAGACCTTGTCGCACGTCTCTCTCTCTCTCTCGCGTCTCAGGCCAACAACTTGTTCGATCTTTGATGCCAACCCACCCTTCCTCTGCACATCCTCAGCCGACCTGAGGCTCGGGGATCGAACCAGAAAAAACCAGGAATCGTGGGACACGACAGAGTTTGTAACAGTGTCGGGGTTATCGAATCTCCTTGACTTTTTCAAAGAACGTTGAGAATCTGACGCGATTGAACGGGTACCGTGTCTTCTCTTTGAGGTTCTTGAATTGTGAACGATAGGCTCGTAGGGCGGCTTTGCATCAGAAAGGGACAACTGGAGAAACCGTGGATTGGCTTTTAGCTTTTAGTCTTGATTTGGGGGGTGATTGTTTATGACTTCGATGCCATGTTCATCACGTTTGTTTGGATCTTGGAAGTGCGCGTTAGCTAGCAAGTCATTTGGCAGTGGGAGTTGACTATGGGGATCGACTGATAAGTCTTAGGAGTGAAACGACTGAACAAAGAAGACAACACTTGAACACCATGCCTTTTACTGTACATATAATGTTTTGTCTGATCAAGAAGCTAAAGCTGACGTCGCCATTAAAAGTTGCGGATGATAGTCCAGTCTTTCCCGGTATATCAGATCCTGCGACTCCTCTTTTGTTAGCTTTCTGTCTCTCGAACTCGAACTCCGCTGGTGGAATCGGCTGACTTGCTGGTTCTCTATCTATTTTCGCAATGCCCCTGAAGTATGGATCGGCCAATGCCTAACGGAAAATAAAAAACACAAAATTCACATTCGCGTCAGATCAAATCTAGACTATCAAAACTGGGCAAGGCAAGTCAAGCCGTTTGAACTCTAGAGCTCGCTCAATCGAGATATGCATGATCGTCGAATTCAGTGGACGAGCGCGAGTGCAAGCATTAGTTTTGAAAGTGTCCAGGCATCGAGACAAAACCTCTCCAGCGGTCGGTCGATCCTTTGGATTAAAGGCGAGAAGCCTCTGCAATAGCTGCAGTGCTAAAGGGTCTGCATTGGGGAATTTATGTGCAAATGGAATGGGTCGCTTCTCCCTCATACTAGTCAAGTATCTCATTGTCTTCTCATTTTTGATCCGAAAGAAACACGGACTAAGATCATATCGAAACCCAGAAAACATAGCGTATGCGCACAGTTGAGTTGTTATTTTTCAGTGATCACCTGCGAGATGATATCTAATGATGGTTCCGAGCAGATCCGTTATTAAATCTAGCTGATTTATAACATTTTCCTCTGGAAACAATGGCTTCCTGGCAAGTAACTTGGCAAAGATGCAGCCTATGCTCCATATGTCAGTTGCAGGGCTATATTATTGTATCCAGATGCCATAACATATGATAAGGTCCACAAACCAATAGCGTTATAGATGTCTCGATAAAGGACGACAAAAGCGATGTACGATTTTGTTGGTACCCCGGCTCTGGACACATCAACTCAGTTGTTTGCCACAACATCAGCTTATCCACTTCAGCAGGACATGTAAAGCTCATAAACCAGCTGGCTTCAAGAACTACACGTCTGGACAAATCAAGTGAACAGAGAGAAATGTATTATATCTGATGGTTTCGTCTCCAAATCCCTGAGCAATGAAGGAACCTTCCATGAGAAGTAGACCGACCAGGACCATTCATGAAGCATAATGCATTCTTGGCTTCTTCAAAGATATTTCAGAAGGGCTATATTTAAGTTTCCTTCGACCACCCTTTTTAACACCTTACAAGTTATGGACATTATCCACATGCAAAATTAAGTAAAAATAAAAGTGGGTGATGTCAATGTTTGTAATCCACCAGTTAGAAGGGTGATTTGGAAAAACATGGCTTGTAGTATCACTGAATAAGCTCCAAAGGAAGCATAAATGCGTAGCGCTCCATAGAAAAGCAGTTTTAATCATCTATAGCAAAAGACAGCGTAGTGACGCTTATACAAGTCCTGTATCTCTATAGCCTAAAGCTTATTATGCCACGGATCACAAATTATTATAAAAAAAAAATGCATGATAACCAATACCCAAGAGTAAAACGATCCACAAGACAGATTTCTCTGAAATCTCTCTTAGAAGATGGTAACATTATGTGCTCAAGTTCAATGATGTCGAGATGCCTCAGCAGCCTCAGCAGCTTCATCTCTCTGAGAACTTGGATCACATCGGAGTTGTGTTAACAAATTTTGCGCATCTTCTTTATAGCTACACGCTCTCCAGTATGAGTATCAACGGCCAAGTAAACAACCCCAAAGTTTCCTTCGTGATTTCAAACCTGTTTTTATGGCTATATTCAGAGAAATTCTCCATCTCCACTTCATACTGCAGCATAAAAGTTTGTCCGGAAAAGACATTCTAATGTTAACTTATCAATCATCGGTTTATAGCATCGCATTTGGTTTCTTCTGTCTGTTTATCATCTTCTTCCCCAAAATGATCCAACACGTACTTTTCTTTTTTCCTATTTGGTCTAGCGACGGAAATACTCCTATGGATCGAGTTGCGAGCAGAGTTACATTAAGCAGCTTTAGAGTTATGGCTCCAGAAACCTTTCATAGGGTGAAGAAGAAAAAGATTCATCTTGCACAGCCAATCGCATTTTAACCTGTAGCAGATAACATTCACAGCGACTTGCCTGTACGGGATTGAACTAATGCAAATTGCAGTGAATGGAGCATCGAAGGCTTGGAAGATTCTGAGGGTGAACTTTGACGACGACGAGTGTTTGTGTTCGACAATTTTGGCCAGGCGCATAATGTAAGTGGATGGTCGGTTCCTGAGCTAAAACGACGAACACGAGGAACTTGTAACGGTAATTTATATAATTCGCCAAACCGTTTGGTAGCTTGGGAAAGAAATGGCGGGAAACGAGTCCTTTTCTTCCTTCTGCATGATGCCCATCTATCTACTCACTCACCCATAGTCCATGTACAAAATTGATTGAAATGATGGGTATTCGATCGACGCACATGTGATAGAAGCAGCCGTGGGTATCATCACTGTGACCAATGTTAGATCGCTCCTTTCACTAAGATTGTTATGGAGGTTGCGATCCAACTCACGATTAATTGCATCTTCAGAGATCGATTTATTTATTCTGCACACCATTTCTCCAGAACACATTCAAAGGCTTCAACTCAGAGAAAGAGATCATATAATCAGCAGTATAACGCACTAACAGCATAGTTTTTTGAACGTTCGTACTTGGCCAAGTGCCCACCAAGAAGCTGCCTCCGCGAGATGTGCACCACACCCGCAATCATTTTTACGCAGCAAACGCGACACGCGGAATTGGGTCATCTCTATCCCGAAAGAAGAGCCGGTCACGGGTCACTGTATTCAGACAAGTCGATACTCCGCTAACAACCTTTCTTCAGTACATTCTTGTTATGCCAAACTGTACAGACCCGACCTTCTGGTGAGCTGCCACGGTGGCTGCAGCACAGCTGCAGCGCCAATCCCACCATTGTTTATGTCTATTGCAGCCTGCTCCTCGCCGTTCTCCATTTTGCCCCCTCCTATCCTCGTCATAAAGAACGGATTCCCGGCGCTAACTTCGCTGCCATCCCATGGCGTAGAATCTGCTTGGCAGTACGCAGGAGGCACTGCTTGCTGTGGGAAGACGGTGCCTCGGATCACCCGTTCGAGGATCATAAACATCTTTGGCAATGTTCCCGTTCTCGTATGGAACGACAGGGCCCACAAGTCTTCCTGATCTGGCTGAGGAGCAACAGTATCAGCATGAGAATTACCATTCACTGATAACTTTCCTGGATCAAGATCCATTTCCCTTTTTCAATATTTATTTTCTCACATTTGCTGGATTTTCCACTATAATTCTCTCGGTCCTGGCGTTCCGCAATTAATTCAGGTTTCACATCACACACCCACCATCGCACATTTACAACAGAACCAGACTCTTAGAAAAAATGAAAATTCAGGATAAAAGCTGAGTTAAAAGCTGTTAAAGAAGATGAAAAATCAGCTATCACAATTTTCTGTTTTAACAGAGAGAGATAGAATAGAAGACTAAAAATATTAACATATAACAAAAACTGTCAAGAACAAGCTTAATAGGAACCTGTTTTGAACTGCACACAAACGTGCAAAAAACTGACTTGTTCCACTTCCTAGAAAATAGCTAACAAACTAACTGCCTAACAAATCAAACTTGACTGCAAAACAGAAAAGACTAAAACGACAAGAAAAACAACAGCAGCACTGGGACACAGCTCCAACAAAAGCTTTTGTCAATTGGACATTGCATTTATATTGTACCTTTCTTTATCTGTCCAACACTCAACTAGGAAAATAACTTGCTGTCTAAAGTGTCGTTCACGTGAAACTCTTGATTGAACATTCAATCCTATGCTCACCCCTAATCTCAAAAGGAGCCCACTTGGCACTATAGCTCTCTCGAGACTTAGCCTTTCTGAATCTGAGAATTGTGGAATAAGGGTGATATATTTTGAATCAAAGACAAGCTTGGCTTTAAAAAATGTCGTACTAATTTGAGTTGCACTGATAGAGCAACGATGACTGCAAGAGGACGATTTCGAATCAAAGATACGCTTGACGCCCAATTAGCTGAAACGGGTGCACGAAGCTAACACTGATATATTCCAAGCGTTTTGTTCGACACGGATTGAATGCATGCAATACATAAATTTCGTACCAATGAGGCTAGAAATTGAGCATGGGCGGGGGGGGGGGGGGGGTGGCGTTGGGACAAACATGGGGACCCATGTTGCAAGACAGAAAAGAAGATAGGGTGATGCGATGAGCAATGATGGGCAAAAGCAAGAGCGCACACACCAGGATGCATCATGCATTTGCCCATCTCTCTCTCTCGTTCCAGGCCAACTGGTTTGTGTTTGATTCTATCTCCTGCATATCCCCAGCCAACTGAGACTTGAAGATGGAACGAAAAAGCATAAGAATTCGAAATTTGAGGAATGAGACAGATTGCGTAGTATCGTGACATCGAATCTCGAACCTAACGATATCGAGGGGTTTGATAGATCCGGGGTGATTGTTAATGACATATTCATCATTTTCTAAACTTTGATTAAACTTAGGAAGTACCATGAACTAGCAAGTCAGTTTGCAACGACAGTTGACTACTTGGATTGACTGACAACACCATGCCTTCATCGTGCAATATGTTCTACCTGATCAAGAACCTATAAGCTGAGGTTGCCTTCAAAAGTTGCTGATGGTATGCCAGTATTTCAAGGTAAATCAGATCCTGCAAATCCTCTTTCGTTAGCCTTGGTCTCTCAAACTCAAACTCGGCTGATGTAATCGACTTACTTGATGGTTTTCTATCTATTTGTGCTTTGACTCAGAAGTAAAACAAAAATTCACATTCGGATTGGATCAAATCGAGACTATCAAAAGCCGGCAAGTCCAGCCATATTAACTCTAGAGCACACTCCGTCGATATATATGCATGATTGTCAAACTCAGTGGACGAGCGCAAGTGCAAACATTTGTTTGGAAGTGTACTTACATTGACACAAACCTCGTCACAGCTCGGGCGATCCTTTGGATTAAAGGCGAGAAGCCACTACAATAGCTGCGGTGCTATAGGGTCCGCATTGGGGATTATATGTGCGAATGGAACGGTTTGCCTCTTCCTCATACCAGTCAAGTATATACTTGCCTTCTCGTTTTTAATCTAAGGGAATGCAGAAAAAGGTCATATCAAAACGCAGAAAGCAAAGCATCTGCACACGGTCGAGTTGATAATATTTTAGTAATCACCTGCGAGATAATATCTGATGATGGTGTTCCGAGCAGATCCGTTATTAAGTCTGGCTGATGAACAGCATTTTTCCCTGGAAACAATGGCTTCCTAGCAAGTAAATCGGCAAAGATGCAGCCTATGCACCATATGTCAACTACGGGGTATACCGAGTTAAGATGCCATAACATATTATAAGGTCCACAAACCAATAGAGTAAGAGATGTCTCAAAAATAAGAGAGAAGAAATTCGCAAGAATGATGTCCGATTTTGGTGGTACCCCGACTCTCGACATATCAACTTGGTAGTTTGCTGTAATATCAAGTTATTCACTTTATATGACATGTAAAGCTCATAAACCAGCTTGCTTTAAGTACACATCTGGACAAATCAAGTAAATAAAGAGAAATATATCATATCTGACGGTTTCCATTCAAGTAGCCCTTTAGCAGTTGAGGGTGATATTCCAGGATTTCTCGGAACATTAGCTCCCGTATATCCTCCTTGGTAGCCCTTCGTCTCTCAAACTCGAATTCCATCTTTGCAATGGGCTGGCATGAAGGTTCCCTTTCAACTTTGGCTAGTTCTTTGAAATATGGATCGGCTAATGCCTACAAAAAGGTCATATTCTTTAGTACATGACAACACGACACCAAGGAAAGTACTGGCAGATATTAGGCAATCTAGTATCTCTAACCTAAAAAAGAAGCATACTAAAATGATCAGACATAATGAGGACAGATATGATCTCAACCTCTTCAGCAGTAGGGCGATCTTTTGGATCAAAGGCAAGAAGTCTTTCCAATAGCCGCAGCGCTAAAGGGTCTGCATTTGGGAATGTCAGCTCAAATGGCTTAGGCTGCTTTTTCCTCATGCAAGTTAAGTATCTTCTTGCCTTTTCATTTTGGACCTGCAGATGTTGACAATTTCTAAGGATCTGCCTTCCTCGTCTTTATCTAGGAGATATATCACTTATAAAACCCAGAATATCATAAAGAAATAATTTCATACCCTTATAATAGTATCTTGTGAAGGCGTTCCGAGGAGATCAGTCATTAGATCCAGCTGATGGACAGCATCTCTTCCAGGAAACAGTGGCTTCCCAGTCAGTAATTCGGCAAAGATGCAGGCTATACTCCATATGTCAATTGCAGAAGTGTACTGTATTGCAATCACATAACATTGTAGGTTCAACGCACAAAAAGTTCAATATGGAACAGAATAGTTTAACTTTTAAGTTGCCAATATACTTGCTAATCTTCGGAAAACACCCAACTTTGATATCTGTATTTGAGAAATACAAGTTAACAAAACTGCAAAGCATGTCCTATAGCTCAGCATCTGAGTGAAAGCATTAAAGCCACTTAGCTATGTAGGATTCAAGTTACGGTATTGTCATCTCTAGCATAGTCATGGCCCTTCCAACGTGTTATTTATGGTTATAGTCTCTTTCGGTTTCCTTCAACAAGAACTCTCCGTCAAAGTTGGAATGAATTCTCATTAACATCCAAGCAATTACTCACTTGCCAGCATTACTGATTCCACCTCGAAGAAACAAAAGAGTCTATCCCCTATCGCTTACAAGATTTTGTAGCTGCATATCTCACCCAACAAAAGAATCACCAAGTCAATCATCACAGGTTCTGTTCGCATGCTTAATACTATCAAGTCAAATTCCCACATTAATCTTGTTCCAACTGTTTATCCCTCCTCTCCCAGAAATGGCAATGTGATGATAAAAGTGCTCGCCACCTTTAGGAAAAGTCCACAACTTCTGACTCGTAGGTTCGACAAACTACTTTCAGAACATGCAAAAGTTCCTAGAATCGCACAAATGAGCAAGTCAAGCTCATAAAAAACAAAAGAAATGCTGCGACACTGGGAACTTTTGTATTTTCCCAGAGTCGCGGAATGTGTAGTTTGGCAAAGCATTCACATGTTTGGTCTAGACTTCTAACAAGCAAATCACTCATCATGCTCTGTGAGGAACAATATAACCCAGACTGTCTCTGGTATATCAACAGAGAGCTCCACATCCCCCACGGAGAATATATTAGATAGAAAAAAAGAGAATAATGTACAGGTTCATATTAGTCGGTAAAATAGTCAAATAGTAGGTCAAGCCTCAAATTTCCAACGTACTAAGTGAGAAGCAAAGTAAAGCAAACGAAACCAGCCGTTCACCATATTCTGCTCATAATGAAAGCAATACCCATAATAAAACAACAGAATAAAATGAATAGACAGAATGTGATGGCTGTAAGTCAAAGGAAATGCTTTAACAAGCCTTGCAAAAGGAGCTATAGCTACTATGTTGGTCCAGATAGGTACCAAGAAACATTAGGAGTCTCGGATCTTAAAATGCATGATGACAACCTCATGTCGTTAAAGATTCTAACAGGAGAAATAAGATGCATGACCACCATTACCTTGGAGGGAAATAATCCACACAGTTCTGGAGCTCTATACCAACTTGCGGCAACGTAATCCTGTATGAAGTAGAGGGCGGACCATTAGTGACCATCTTCCACTGACGTCAGAGACTTAAAAGTTAAACGACCGGTTAAGAAGTTACATACAGTCCAGAATACGGTGGAAGGTGTATCATTGAACTCAACCCTTGCTAAACCAAAATCACAGATTTTGAGCTTACAATCTGCATTTGCCAATATATTCTTTGGTTTCAAATCTCGATGGAAGACATTTGCTGCAACCATGTGCATAAATTTCAGAAACGGTCTGTATCCACTTGAAAAGAAGATAATTCACCACCAGAAGACTATCATGCTCTAACAAGAATCAGCGGATCGGAGATATGAAAGATATATATAATTTTTTTTTTTTTTGCGGAAGTGAGCATCATCCACAATGGACAAATGACGGGTAAAAAATGGACAGATTAAAGTCATATATGTCTGACCAAAAAAAAAAAGTACATATATGATGTCGACCAAAAAAAAAAGTATATATATGATGAACACAGTGTTTAAGATGTGACAATTAGTAGATAGGTGCAAAAGAATAAAGATTAAACATTACCTATAGTGAATATAGTGACGAGAAAGCTAAGAGTGAGGGATGCCCGAATGAATATACTTCAAAGCGCAAAGTAGCTGGTAAAGGAAAAACTGGAAAGATCCTTAAAGTTATCATTAGCATTAATGACTTGGTGAAGATCCGACTCCGTCGGCTCAAAAACAACTAAATATCCTTAAAATCTCTTCTGGAAGGTGGCAACATTATGTGTTATTTTAGAACTATCAGAGCCATGAAAATTTTAGTTTACTTTCTTTTACAGAAGCGAGCATCCAAAATGGACATATGAAGAGAAAAAAAGACTGATTAAAGTACATATATGATGAACACGCTGTTTTACATGTGATAATTAGTAGATAGGTGCAAAAGAAAAGAGATACACATTACCTACAGTGACTGAAGTGATGAGAAAGCTAAGAGTGAGGGATACCCGTATGAATATACTTCAAAGCGCGAAGTAGCTGGTAAAGAAAATACTGGTAATGCTCCTTTGTTAAGTCATCATTTGCTTTAATGGCTTGGTGAAGATCCGACTCCATCAGCTCAAAAACAACATAAATATCCTTAAAATCTCTTCCGGATGGTGGCAACAATATGTGCTTTGTTTCAACAATGTCAGGATGCTGTAGAAGCCTCAACAGCTTAATCTCACGAAGAACTCTAGCCGCATCAGATATGCTCCCAAATATATTGCGTATCTTCCTTATTGCTACTTTTTCACCAGTATGAGTGTCAGTTGCTGAGCAGACAACACCATGACTCCCTTTCCCGATGACATCTTGAATTTTATATCGATTTGCATCTCCATAGTCAAAGAAGAAGTCCATTTTTTCAGAATTCTGAAGCACAGAGATTTGTTCCAGCATGAAAACACCATAAAAGTCCATGTCATAGTTACTAGGAAAAGTTCAAAGTTCCAAACCAATGTCATGGCGGAAGCACCAAAGTTACACATATGAATGCAAAATCACACACAACAGGACAGGAATTCTCCTTGCAAAACAAGAGGAAATCTTGAATTGATCGTTGCAGATTTGAAAATGCATAACAAATGGTGGCCAGAATTCGCTAGCAGGCGATGCCAAAAATAAAACTCTCTGATGATGAGCTAGATGCCCCAGGCAATGATATGCTCGATATGCTCAAAAGCTGTCAATTAAATATCTCAAATGACTAGTCTACAACAACAACAACAACAACGAAAAGATTCCCCATGGTGCTTCTGCTTCACCTTTCGACTTTGACTAATCAACAAAGACAACCCGACACTCGTGAGATTCCAAAGAGGGCGTTTTAAGATTTCAAGGGAATCCTTCACTTGCGCGAAGTTCGAGTCAAACAGTTTCCAATTAATCCATTTGGTACTTGTCAGGCCTTCAACTTTTAGATACGCACAACCTAGCTCGAACTCTTGACAGATACGATTGTCAACTTAAAATTGCGTGGTGATCCTAGATAAACAGAAGCTCACTCTGCCCCCATTTTCTACTCTCCTCTCTGGTTCTAAATCAACACACATACAATCGCATCAACCGAAGGCGAATACTCTTGAAACTGGAAATATTTTGGTTTTCTATGTCTTAACCAGCGGCGAATTCACTTACAATCCTGACCTGATTGTCCTCAGACACAATAAATGTTCCTTCGGAATATCTCGTCTCCCCTGAATCCTGGCCACTCCTTGCCTCCATCACTCCAACTCTGAAACAGATGAAACAACAGTCAGAATCGAATTTGAGCTCCAACATCGAAACCTAACTATAGGAAGCCGGCGATCCCAACATAATTGCCAGTGAGCCCCTAACATAAGTTCAATAAAAACCTCGCAAGATCCTGAGTCTGTCGTGTCTCCGCTACTCGCGGAGCAGCAGGCGAATTTGACTGATGCACAGAGGAACCGATCCTGCCGAGGCAATTGCTGCAGGCTCGAGGAGATGACGAGGCAGAAGACAAAGCAGAGAGGCACACCGGCGAGCCTGGGTTAACATTATAAAGATCATTGTTGGGAACGAAGGTCAGGAACTTGAAAACCATTCTGCACCGATCAGTCCTCAGCTTGAGCTAGAACCCAAAAAGGAGCAACAGCCAAGAAGGCAAGTACTAAGGGTCGTCGTCTATATTTTCTTCGAAATTCAAATAACTGAAAGACAGCAGATGACAACGAGAAGCGGTTTAATCATTCATCGTTGATCACCGAAGTTTCTTTTCTTTTCATATGTGGAGTGTGTGGGGGTGGTGAAGTCAACTAAGGTTGCCTGTATAAGATTAAACTAATGCAAATTGCAGGGCAGGTAGAATCGAAGGTTCAGAAGACTCTGAGGGTGACTTTCGAAGACAATGAGCGTCGGCAAGTGGAGGATGCGATGGTGACTACATAATGCTAAACCGTTCGGCAGTTCGGTAAAAAATGGCGGGAAACGAGTCTTCCATTTCTTCCCTCGGCATGATGCCCATCTATCGAGCCGCTCACTCATATTTCACATACAAAATTGATAGAAAGACTGCTAATTTTGACAAGCGAGGAACATCTAAGCACCCGTTTCGTACTCACCCTCGCCGTACGAGTCTATGAATCGAATCTATAGATCGATCTTAATAGCAGTCGGCGATCATATACCATGATGACCGACGAGCGGGGTAAAAACAACGGAATACTGCTCTTGACCGGATGTCGAGAAAGATCAACCTTTGAAATGCTTGTTCATATTTTATCACACCTCTTCATAAATCAATCTTAATACCCCAAGTGGCGTGTGTTTGCGTGAGAGATATCCTTCACTGATCACTAGTTTTTTCAAGCGTTCTTCATTTCACAAGGAACGCATGCAGTATGAACGAGAATGGAAAGGAGAGTTAAAGATGGAAGTAATCGCAAGAAAATACAGCCGACAAAGCTCCAATACGTATGTCTGTTTGGTTTCCAATCGAACCAAAGGGGAGTTAAACGTATATCTTGTCGAGTAATAGTTAAAAACCTACTTAACGTTATCGTAAACATACTTCTTGTTCCAATTTTTCATGTTTCCGATTTCCTAAGAGGAAAGAGCGTCGTACCCCCGTGCACATGTAATAGAAGCAGCCATGGGTGGTATCACACATGTTAGATCACTCGGTCCGAGGGTACGATCCAACTCGTGATTAACTGCATCTTCGCACATTGATTTTATTTATTCTACACAACACCATTTCTCCAGAATACAACGAGAGAGAGAGAGAGGGAGAGGGAGCGAGTATAGAATCAGCAGTGTAATTCACTAACAGTATAGTTCTTGAACAATTGTATTTGCCGAGTGCCCACCAAGAAGCTGCCTCCTCCGCGAGATGTGCACCACGCCAGCAATCATTTTTACGCAGTGAACCCGATACGCGGAATTGGGTCATCTCTGTCCCGATAGAAGAGCCATTCAAGGGTCACTGTATTCAGACAAGCCAACACTGCGCTAATGCCCTTTCTTCAATACATTCTTGTCATACCAAATTGTACTGACCCGACCTTCCGGTGAGCTGCAGCGTTAGCAGCAGCTGCAGCACCAATGCTGCCATACTGTGTCTTTGCCGCTAAAAAGTTGGCGTCTATTGCAGCCCGCTCCTCAGTGTTCTCCATTTTGCCCCCTCCTATCCTCGTCATAAAGAACGGATTCGCATCTATGTTTATGGCAACTTCTGGCGCTAACTTCGCTGCCATCCCACAGTGCGGAATCTGCTTGGCATGCGCAGCAGCCATTTCTCTCTCGGCTTCAGTCCCATGCCGTTCTTGCTTTCCCATGCTCGCTTTATTGTAGCAGTATGCAGGAGGCACTGCCTGCGAGGGGAAGACGGTGCCTCGAATCATCGTTCGAGGATCATACCCATCTTTGGCAATGTTCCTGTTCTCAAATGGAACGACTGGGCCCACAACTCTTCCCGGTTTGGCTGAGCAGTGACGATATCAGTATGAGAATCACCATTCACTGATAAAAGCAAACGTGCATGGAAGAAGGTTATCTACCGATTGGAAGTCTCTGGGTTGCTAAGAAGTTCCTGGATGGGTTCATGGAAGCTTCCTCGCCTTGAGTTGGCTGATCTTTATAGCTGTTTATTTTTGGTTGCTCCTTTGGCAGGCCTGAATTCGAATGTACTATGGTAGACCTGTAATTGCACAAGGCATGCAATGTCATCCACTAAAAACGGTTCAAAACTAAAATACAAGCACAAGACATACAACAAAGCAAGCAAAACAAAGAAGGGGGGCGGAGGAGCGAAACACAAATGTACCTCGGCAAAGACACATGCTTTCTTTCTAGAGGGGCCGAAGTACCACTTTTGCCACCATTTTCCTCCAGCTGTGCAAACTGCTTCCTAAATTGATCAACGGCACTGTACACAACATAGACAAAGGGAAGATCAAGGTGGAGCAACCGATGTTCCATTCATGCTGATATCGTCGGAGCAATCAGTATTGGCGTTGCCGAAGTTCTTCAAGCAACAGAGAGAAATAAGAGACAGATTGACTACAGCCAAAAAAATTGGTACCGACCTCGGATATAGAAAATTAGTCCTCTCAGTTCCATTCATGTAGTCCTTAAGCAGTTGAGGGTGATATTCAAGGATTTCTCGGAAAATTAGTTCCCGTATATCCTCCTTGGTAACCCTTCGTCTCTCAAACTCAAATTCCATCTTTGTAATGGGCTGGCATGAAGGTTCCCTTTCCATTTTGGCTAGTCCTTTGAAATATGGATCGGCTAACGCCTACAAAAAGGTCATATTCTTTAGTACACGAATACACGATACCATCGAAAGAACTGAAAGATAATAGGCAATCTAGTATCTCTAACCTAAAGAAGAAGCATACTAAAATGATCAGACAAAATAAGGACAGATATGATCTCAACCTCTTCAGCAGTAGGGCGATCTTTTGGATCAAAGGCAAGAAGTCTTTCCAATAACCGCAGCGCTAAAGGGTCTGCATTTGGGAATTTCAGCTCAAATGGCATAGGCTGCTTTTTCCTCATGCAAGTTAAGTATCTTCTGGCCTTGTCATTTCGGACCTGCACGTTTTGATGATTTATAAGGATCTGCCTTCCCCGTATTTATCTAGGAGATAAATCGCTCATAAAACCCAGAACATCATAAAGAAATAATTTCATACCCTTGTAATGGTATCTAGTGAAGGCGTTCCAAGGAGATCAGTCATTAGATCCAGCTGATGGACAACATTTTTTCCAGGAAACAGTGGCTTCCCGGTCAGTACTTCAGCAAAGATGCAGCCTATACTCCATATGTCAATTGCGGGAGTATACTGCATTGCAATCACATAACATTGTAAGTTTGACAGACAAAAAGTTCAATATGAAAGAGAATTTGAGGTACACTTTTAAGTAGCCAATCTACTTGCTTATCTTCAGAAAACATCCAACTCTAATATCTCTATTGAGAAACAGAAGATAACAAAAGCGTGAAGCATATCCTATAGCTCAGCATCTCAGCATCTCAACGAAAGCATTTAAGCCACTTAGCTATGTTGGATTCAAGTAGCCTATTTAGTATTGTCATCTCTAACAGAGTCATGGCCTTTCCGACGAGTTACTTAATGGTTCCAGTCTCTTTCAGTTTCCTTCAAAAAACTCTCCCTCAAAATTGGAACAATCTCTCATTGACATCCAAGCAATTACTTACTTGCTAGCTTACTAATTCTATCTCGTAGAAACTAAAAAGTCCATCTCCTGCCACTTACAAGATTTTATAGCTGCATATCTCACCCAACAAAATGATCACCAAGCCAATCATCACAGATTTCTGCCCGTATGCATGGTTGTATCAAGTCATATTCCCCTATTAGTGTTGTTCCAACTGATTTTTTTTTTTTTTTGGTAAAGTTTGTTCCAACTGATTTATCCCTCCTCTCTCCAAGAAATGGCAATGTGATGATTAAGGTGTTCACCACCTTTAGAAAAACTCCTCAACTTCTAGCTCGACAAATTTCAGAACATATTAAAGTTCCTAGAATCGCAGAAATTTCATTTATGAGTAACTAAAGCTCATAAAAAAAAAGTTCTATGTTCCCAGAGCCGCGGAATGGTTAAATTACCCAAAGCATTCACATGTCTCGTCTAGACTTCAAGCAAATGACTTAAGTCATGCTCTGTTTGAAACAATATAAACCCAGACTTTCTCTAATATATCAACATAGAGCTCCACATCCCCAAACAGGGAAAATATTTGAGAAGTTGAGAACTTCCTAAAGATATAAAGAGAAAACAGAATAATGCAATAGGTTCAAATTGGTCAATAAAATAGTCAAATAGAAGATATTAAAGTAGATCAAGCCTCAAATTTCCAACTTATGAAGTGCAGAAGCAAAGTAAAGCAAACAAAACCAGTCATTCAATGTCTTCAGCTCAAGATGAAAGCAATTCCTGTAATAAACTGAACAGAAAGAATAGTTGTAATGTAATAGCTTTAATTTAACGGAAATGCTTTAACAAGCCTAGCAAAAGGAGCTATAGCTATGTTGGTCCAAACAGGTACAGGACACAACAGGAGTCTAATGTTAAAATGCATGATGATGAGCTTATGCTGTTAATGATTCTAACAGGAGAAATAAGATGCATGACCACCATTACCTTGGAGAAAAATGATCCACACAGTTCTGGAGCTCTATACCATCTTGTAGCAACATAATCCTATATCAAGAAAAGGGCGGAGTATTAGTGACCATCTTCCACCAATGTGAAAGAATTAAAAGTTAATGACAAATTAAGAAGATACATACAGTCCAGAACACAGTGGAAGGTGTATCATTGAACGCAACCCTTGCTAAACCAAAATCACAGATTTTGAGCTTACAATTTGCATTTGCCAATATGTTCTTTGGTTTCAAATCTCGATGGTAGACATTTGCTGCAATCATATGCATAAATATCAGAAACAGTCTGTATCCACTTGAAAAGAAGGCAATTCATTACCAGAAGACTATCATGCTCTGACGATATAGATAATAAGCGGATCAGAGCCATGAAAGATATAGTTTATTCTTTCACAGAAGTGAGCATCCACAATGGACATATGAAGTGTCAGAAAAAGACCGATTAAAATACATATATGACGAACAGGGTGTTTTAAATGTGATAATTAGAAGATAGGTGCAAAAAAAAAAAAACAGAATTGGTTACCTACAGTGAATTAAGTGACAACAA